ATGGGGAGCAAAAGGCCTGTTGAAATGAAAAGAAGGTGAAAAGAGAGCAACCTAGAAAAGGAAAGCACAAAAGGAAAAGATTAAAAATTCATCTCCATTCTTTATTACACTAAGTGCCGGCCTTTGTGCCTTAATACACAAAGATTCTTATTCAGTTTACTTACACAGTTTACAGTGATGTCCTGTTGCCTGTCTTTGTTACTTGTATGTGTGCTCTTTTTAACTAGGAGATCAGCCAATACATCTCTTCGACAAGTTCTGCCTCAGAACTACCATTGGTTTTTTGTATGATGGGTTTTAGAGGCTAACTGTTCCACACATTTATTGATACAATATGCACTCCATCAAAATAGTAAACTGGCTTTCTTAATGTGCGTTCTGGTTTTATAACCATATAACTATTATGATCTTTTTTCAAATTCTCTAAAGTAGTCCATATCTCAATGTCAAGCAGAATTTTGATGAAGACGTTAAAAACCACATTGCATTTCTACAGCCCCCACACCAAATGTGTCTGGTGTCCACTCATTCTGTTAACATCATGTAATGCTGAATTTTGATAAGAATTATCATATCTATGATATGATATAAGTTGCTACGTCTAAACTTAATTACTTACATTTAAAGTGATTATGTTGCCGATAGCCAGATCCTGAAACCTCAGGAAAATTGCTCACATAATGGTCTATAGTGAGGTAACAAGGATAAGAATAATGATGAAAATCCAGGACTTGTAGGTTTCCTTCCACCTTTTCTGCCTTTTCTATTTTAGAGCATTTAAAGAGTTAAAATACTAAGTATAAAATGAGATAAACAGCAGGAGAGACAGACAGGAGAGCAGGAGAATGTTAAGATCATTATCAGCCAGCACAGTAAGCGTTGGGCTGGGGCAGGGCAGAGGGCAGGACTGTGTCAGCTGAGCTTCAGATCAGTTCAAACTGCCTGAGCCACAACCACAGCCTGCTGCTTCACTTGGCTCTTCTGAAGCCTGACACAATTCGTGCATATTTGACTCCATGATTATTTTCAAGAAATTATGCAAAATTTTCTTGGTTTTCTTGGCTCTTTATGTTGAAAAAAGAGTAGAAAGTTTGTTTTCTGTACAGTTTAGCCACTTGGCTGTTTTGTAGAATGTGTCTTCATGCCCTGTTCATGTTTCTCTAGTTTGCTATATTACAGTGATCTGAAAAGGCAATCTGAATAGATATGGGGTCAGGAAGCCTTGAGCCCTTCTGTATGATAGTGATAGAAATTAGATTACTTTATTCTGGCTTACTGTGTGTTTTCTTCAAGGCTAGTTTTAAAAGCTACTTCAGGGGAGCTCTTAGACACCTCGAGAACAGAACTGGAGTGAGTTGTAGGTGTGACTTCTGTGTGTGATGAAATGTAGGTCAGAAAGGGTGTGGATTATTAAATGTGCTTTAAACTGTAAGGAATGATTGTCCTTTTGTATAATTAGTGTGTTGACTGCCCTGAAAGTTGCTATGACAGGTTTTAGGGGCTTTTCTGAGGCACCAGAGAGTTGTCAGTTTTATTAAGTAGAGAGACTTGTAACATTATCATAGCTGATTTTTTCCAGAGATTTTGAAGTTGTTTCTTCCTTCAGATGCAGTATTACAGCCTGTTCAGAGAGGCTTTCCTTATGAGATAGATCCACCCAGCATTAAAACACTTCTGCCAACAAACTGGCTCTGTCTCATTTGCACATCACAATGTGATCTCCTTCTTCTGTAAAAATAATATCGATGTATGTATTTTACCCAGAAACTCTCTATTGGGTAAGTACCAATGTGTATTTCATTATCAGTTACCCAGTCCCTCGACAGGGGACTGTCCACTGGCATGATCATCAGACTGCGAGAAACAAGTCATCACAAAAGCGTTATTTGAGGCTGGGGGTTTATGGACTGTGTGGTGAATTTGAGAGACTGGCTGGCTTCCAGTTTTTGATCATTTCTCCAGGGGTAGGTACAGAGACAAGTTCCTTTGTTCATCCTAATGCTCAAAAAGCTTGAAAGTTTCTTCTCACTTCCTAGAGTTCATTATCAAGAGAAGAGGTATTTATAAAGCAGTATCTTTTTGTGAGATTACCTCTGGCTTGTGAGATTACCTCTGGTTTTATAAGGTATACTTCTACTTCTGGAGTTTTAATTATTCAGTGTTCAACTCTGGGTTTTCTAGCATCTCAATACATTGCATAACTTTGGTCTGACACTCAAAGCACCATCCTTTTCACTATTAATTTGATCATTGTCTCGTAAATTTTGGGGATGTTGTTTAGACAGATGTGAAGTACGGTTTTCCTGCTTTTAAGTCCACCTTTAAACTAAACTTTTCATACGTACTATTAAAATCTTACATAGTTAGATAGTCGCTATTTTCAGTAACCTGCCTGTGTACAGTATTCATAGGACTGTTACGGCTTGGCAACCCTAGATTATTACAGAGAAGTTTTATTCTAAGTGTGGCTTGTCATTAATATAAACAGGTAAATAAGTATTTACACATAATCTGAGTAAGTATGTTAAGTTTAAAAGGTACCATGAAATTGCTCATATAGGTATACTTTTTGTTAGTGAACAACATTAACTGTTCTTGAAAAATAAGATTTAATGTGTATTCATCATAAGTTAACCAAACCCCAAATAAATAGGTACATAAGTAAGCAAGGCATAACAACAAAAATTATCAGGACATTGAACAATTAGTCCTGAGGTTGAACATAAAAATAGATGTAAATTTAAATGTAGAAAACTTTGGTTCAGTAGGGTCACTTTGCCCCAGTTATTTTGTCATAAAATGAAATTTAGAATTGCTGTAGGTTTGCCTTCAAGAAATCTTGTCTTAGGGGAAATCACCAGTGCTGAGGTAGCTGCCTTCCACTTGTCTTATGAACCCTGGGATTACAAGAGTAGGTTGGCATAGGGAGTGATAAAGACTCTGTGTCGCTTTCCTTATGTAGAGCTTCCTTTTGTGATATTAATCTCTATTAAGCCTAGAAAACCAGGGGAGCCATGACCTGTCAGTCATTTCTGAGCTTGGCACCTGATGATTAAGCATAGCGGAGAAGCAAGTCCGGAGCTTACTACAGGAAATGGCAGGCAGTAAGGCAGAAGACATTGTCCTATGTTAAATCACAGATAAAGATGGGAATGATTCCAGTGCCCTTTGTCTATAGGTATGCATGCAACCCTGTAATTGAAAAGGTGTCTGTAAGCTTCATCTAAGCCCTTAGTATTACAATCTGATTTTTGGGAAACTTTCTTCCTGCAGTAGACACCAATGACTTTTGCTGTTGACTTTGTGATCTTTTATAGTATATTGAAAAGGTAAACACATGCTTTTTGTATGGTCTACATTTTTAAACATTAAACCAAAAATTAAATATGTTGGGACACTTTGTTGTTGCTTGTTGTCTGTAATATTCAGCTTTTCAGTAAATGTTTTTCAGTAATTTAACACAGTGGTGTGATCTGCGGCTGATTTCCCTGTGAAGGACAGCTTTCCCCATTGCTTGTTTAAGATTACTCATCACAGCTAATGACTGACTGTAGAATGACCCTCTAACTTGGGTGCAAAAAAAAGAATAGTATCTTTGAATTTCTAAGGTACCAATGTGGACATTTGACTAAACAAACTTCTTGATGGCCAGGGAATAAGAAGAATATAAATTCCTGCAGATCTGCAGTCTCTGTAATTCCAAAAATAAGAAAAGGAACAAAAGTGAAGAATTTTGACTGGAACGTGACCTAAATGTTACTGACTTTCTGAATATCAAAGGTTCTTAAGAGTATTTTGTACTTTCTTTGTATGTGTGTTATGAAAAAACTATATATTATCCCTTCTGTTAATACTGAGTTATACAGTCTTGAAGATTTCCTTCAAGTGTTTTTGCCAGTATTAACTAAGACAAATCTCACACATATAGCATTACCGTGGCAATATGTATGGATGAAAGTTATCAAAAAATACGTCAGCAGAAATGACATAATCCAAGCAGGCTGCAGGACAGCCTGCCCGATTTCTAAACAGTTAACTTAACTTGTCATTCCTGAGCGCTGGCTGTTTACCCTGCCCACCCAAACAGCTCCTAGCCACTGGGTGTGGCGAAAGCCTTTGATAAGTACCTGTGTACAGTTCACAGAAATAGCTGTGCAGTTAGGACAGTAGTAATATGAAACCAGTCCTGTTGGTTTTTGTTCATGGCCCTGGAGGCTGAAATCTGCATTCCAGATGAAACCTGCAGCAAATCGGAACCTCTTTTTTTTCTGCTTTCTTCGGCTTCAAGGGCGCTCACCCGGGTTCGCTCTGGCCGGCCGGGGGCTGGGGTCTCTGCACAGGCTCTGGGCGGTGGCACTGGAAGCTTCAGATTCGTTCCTCTGGGTTTCCATTTGACGTTTTTTTGGTGATTATGGATTTACAAAAGAAGATCTTTATCAAAGTGGAAAGACTATGCAAAAGAATCCGTCAGGAATTTTCTGCTGAAAACCACTCACAGCTCGTGTACTGGGATAAGGAAGTAGCAAACTACAAATGCGCCCAGTTCTGTTTGGGAGGCTTGTTTATATAGCTGCTCTGCACTTTCTAGCACGTAGGAAGTTGTGTGCAGCCAGTAGGATTGCAGGAGTCCCAGCAGTAACCATTGGTCGAATTTTCAACCGAGATTAGTGCGCTGGCATATTTGCCCGGACAAAAAGCCCTTTGTGTAAAGCAACAAGTCACCGACGCTGCTGAGAACTTTTTTTGCGGTGGGTCTTTTTGCTGCTCCTGAAGTAGAGTTTGGAGACCTGACGGACACTTTGGCTGCCGGCTGCAGCGCTGGAAGCGGAAGGAGGGGCAGGGTGACCTGGGGGAGGCTGGCTGCCTTCGCAGGGCCGGGGAGCGCTGCCTGTTGCCGTGCCTGTAGTGAGTTCAGTCTGCTGTCTGAATGCATGTCGCAAATGTTTGTTTAGCAGTTAGTAGCACTGCTAGAAGCAAACCTATTCTGTACTTCACGCAACATGGAAGAAGAAAATGCGGTGCCTGGTTGTAGTGAGCTTTCAGACCTGGAGAATACAGCAGAAAGCGAACCTGATCTTTTCACTACATTTTCTGTGAAAACGCTTTTTGGATTTACAACTAAATTTGAATCTACAGCTTCCAAAGAAGAAACAGTGCTTAAGGCATTTCAACCTTTGCACACCGATATAAATACTCATGCTAACACCTGGCATGAGAGGAATGATAATGATTGTAATGACGACTCAGAAAATCAGCACGGCATGAGTAGTACCAGTGGCCAACCTGACCCGATGTCTGGCAGGCAAACTGACCTGGAACTGGAGTTAGCTGAACAAAATGAATTACTTCTTCACCATTTAAGGTTTGTACAGACTTCTTTGTCTGAATCTGACAATGATGACAAGGATGCTATTCTCGTACAAGGTACTTTGGTTCATACAACAAGTGATACAGAATCGGACACAGAGAGTAAGGACCTAGACACCGATGAAAACAATACAAGTGGATCTGGGCTAAATAATGCTGCTTTGTCTGCCGAGGCTTTGGACAATAACAATCAAAATAGGGAAGAGTCAGAATCAGAAGGGCACAGCAACAGTGATGACACTGTGGATCCAGATGACATTGAGTTACACCCACCAATTTCTAAGCAGCTCCCAAAAGAGCTGGATGGTGTTCTGGAGCATGACTCCAATGGAAAAGACAAAATGTTAATGGATGAGCAGTTCAGCCGCTTGTTTGCTACAGGGGAATGCCCTCAAGAACTTCCAGATGAAGAACAAAGACCTTCAGCTGATAATACGTCGCTCCAAAAACCAGCACTGACTGAAAAGACTTTCCAGCTGCCCGCTTTCTTTAGTGGACTACGTGTGAGGAAAAAGGGACTAACCACAGAGGATGGGGAAACTATTACAGAAATTAAACCAAGGGAGAATGATTTAGCTCTGCTTAAGTTACGACAGCCTGTTAAGAAATCCAGTATTACATCAGGTTTGACCACTAAAAAAAAATCAGCTGAACCTAAAGCAAGTCCTACTTTCCTGGAACAACTCTCGCACTTGTTAAACATAGACGTCTCCAAGAATGAAGATAGAACCGAGGACTCTGGTGAGGGATCTGGTGAGACCGAAGACAGTGATGAAGCTCAAGACAACAAAGCCTCTGGCAAAACAGAACCATGTTTTCCCTCTGAGGAAATAAAATCAAGCCCAGCTGAATCTGCACTGGACGTCTTTAAAGCTTTATTCACTCGGCCTCCCAAAAAAGAAACAACTGCAGATACTTCAGAGCTGGAAGCCATAAAACGTAAAATGAGAAATGAAAAAGATGCTTTGAAAGCTGTATTTGAAAGGTCAAAATCAAAACCTGGGGATGGACCATCAGACAAATCTGTAGGTTGAATTACTTTTTCTTCCTAAGATCTGGAAGTAGACAGATAAAAAATAATTTCTTGTTTAAAAATTTTTGGTGGGGACTTAAGGTCAAAATGTCAGAATTGTCCTCTTCTTTTGGCAATCTCAAATTTTGGATTCCCAACTGAAGAAATCTTGGGGCTAATTTGTCAAAATTCTTAATCACCTGCAGTTGTAGCAGAATCCAGTGAGAACTGGTAATAGTCACAGCATTTCAATTAGAAGTGAGAACTTAAAAATCAGTTTCTGATTTTAAAAGATCTCTACAAAACAGTTGCCCATATGTTAAGTATGACTTTAAATCTGTTTGGTGCTGCAAATATTTACTGTAGTATTATTTAATAGTTTCTCAATCTCACTCTGTTTTCTTTCATTGTTTTTTTTTTTTATTTTTAAAAGTAATATTTTACTTTACCTTTGGGAATAATTCTATGATAAGAGCTGATACAAGAAGTTATGGATGATTTTCAACTCAGTTTGTCCAAGACATAGAATTTAAAGTAATTTTTTTCTTATTTACATGCATATATCTGGCTTTGCAAATATTGATAAGCATTTAACCTTATCCGAGTATAACTTAGTGATTCCAATTAGACGACTCAAGTTATGGATTAATATCAGCATTTGCAAGGTTAATATTCTCAGGCATATGGAGATTTAGTTAGTATATTTTTAAGAAATGAAAAAAAATCTATGCTAAGTTTTCATAGAACCATAACGATAAATGAATTTGTGATTTGAACTCTTTTAATTAAATGAGTAACCCCCCAACCCAAAATTCTTGCAGCTACATCTTTGGCATATATAATCAGTTCAGAAGATTGTTCTTGTTGGCTAAAAGGGGAATTGTCTGAATGATTAAATTTGCAGGATTGGACCTAAGCCTGAAGCTACCTAAGTTAATTTGCTGTGTTGATTGTACTCTCTTACAAATTTTTATTTTTACTTAAAATTTAAAACTTTTAAAAAATCTTGACTGACACCTGGGTAGACCTATAATACCAGTTTATAGTAAATTACCTATGGGGAGGAGAAAAGAGGTACTTGTTGGCCGTGGCATGTAGAGCAATTGCAGTCTGCGTGTGCCCTTCCCATTCCTGGCTTGCTCCTTCCTGCTTACACCATTCCCTGCGCTGTGCTGGCGTAAGCGTTTGTGTGGCTCACAGCAAACCTATTTGGGAAGCTGTCATCACACACGGTGAGGGAGGAAGCACAGGAGTCAGCAGGAGTGGCTTGTATAAATGTCTGCTTAACGTCCGATCTAGTACAAATGTACATTTTCTCAGGGCAAAGCCAGAGTAAAAGGGTCTTGCCTTTCCTTTTTCCTTGCTCACGTGGGCCATTTATGGGGCCGCTTTCATACAGGGTCTTGCTGTTGCTGCGGTTATGTCTATGCAATTACTCGAAATAGCATGTTGTAAATCAGATTACAGAAGTGTTAGAGATGTAAAAAAAAAAAAACCAAACGTAAACCTCTAAAAGAATGCTTGTTTAGTGGTTTTTTTCCCCCCATTTAAAGGGTTATTTTAGCACTCCAGTTGACAGTGGAGTCCCATTAACAGCTGCAGCAGCACTTTGATGTGGCAGTATTACCTGGTATGTAGACTGAGCAAGCTGCTGGGGGTGGGGCAGGAATTTCACAAACTAGCTCTGCTTCCGGAAAATTATATTGTCAAATGATGTCTTAGGTGAATCCCACTAACGTTTACTTGTAAGAGGAGCACAGATGGGTCTTCTTGCTCTGAAGAAAAGATACAGGAAAAAACCCTAGTATTCTTGACCACCTCCGTGGTTCACCAAAGGATAGACAGCTTTCCACACTGATGTGAACAGTTTCAACAAATCATTGTATGTCACATGCATTATGTTATTTTCCTCCTCAAAATTATTTTTCTACACTGATATCTTTGTATCCCGTCCAACCAACTGAGCACTGTTTCAATTGGTAGAATGAGGTAGATAGCCATTCTGGAATATACATGTAGAGCTGAGCATTGCGGTTGTGGTTTTAGAATCAATTGATACTGCAGACTTTAATTTTTTCTTGCTGAATTTTAACAGCCTGACCTGAGTCCCTCAGAGCAAGATGACAAGACTCCAGGGAGACTCCAGACTGTCTGGCCACCACCAAAAGCAAAGCATGAAGAAGTAAAAGTAGGATTAAAGTACACAGAAGCAGGTAAAACAAAAGAGGTGAAGCATTTGGAGAAAGTAGTTTCTGACATTTTTAATCTTGTTTAATGCAGAGATGGTGATAAGTCACAGTATTTTCTTATCTGGAAAAACAGACCTTATGTTTTGGATCATGTTCAACGCTACTTGTTAAGCATCTGATTTTTAAATGTAAATGGCTAAATCTGTGTTGAAATCTAAATGCTTGCCTGTACAAATTCATGAGGAAAGAAGTGGGGGTTTTGGTAAATTAGATTATCCATTTCTAACGGGATTCTGTTCAAATGAGCGACAGAATAGTGAACGAATGGAAACCTGACTGCCTTTTCCACTGCCTTAGAATACGGGGGACAGTGACCTGCCAGACTCTAGTCTGGCTGTAGATTTTCTTCAGGTAGTGTCCAGAATAAAAGCAATGAATACCATTATTGCAACTTGTGTATAAAGAGAGGAATACTCATATCCACTCAGATCACTTTTATAGCTAGCCACGTATATTGTCCTATACAAATGTATGAGAGGGTATGTGTGAAGCACAATGCTAACTAGTTATCAATAAGCTTTCCACAGAAAACTATTTCTTATTTTTTTGATATTTAGATAAATAGTTACATAACATATTTACAAGGGAAAAAGTGATTTTTGTAGCCACCGCACCTCTGTTTCAAATTTGTATTCTTAAATATAAACCAGGAAGTTCTTGTTACTCAGAAATTAGTCATAAACTGTGCAATTGTCTGAAATATCGAAATGAAACACCGTAGACCATCTGTTCTTCATGTACCTGGAGATTTTAGAAAATACCACCTAGAATGGATTAGCTGGAATTAAAAAACAAGCTTTAATACTACCTTGCTGTGAGAAATTGTACAGAGTAATGCTGTATGGTTCTTTCCAGTTCCAGTGGATATCCATTTGGCCTTGTATATGACAAAGAATAAATAGGAATAGTGGATCTACTGCTTTGTATTGTTAAGTGTATTACTTTTTTCTCTCTCTTTCATCAGTTTTCTCTGCCTTAATCTTCCTTTTTTGTAAAGTGGGCATGATACTGGAAACGTAAAGGTTGCTGGAAGATTCAGAAGACTTGGTTTTGACAGGAACAACATGGTTCTAATACAGACAGAATTTAATTCACAGTGCATCTGATCGGTCTGAGGTGTGGGAGTCTGTCACTAGGTGACCAGGACAGGTATTCAGCTGTTGACAAGGAGTGCTACAGGCTCTTTCTATTACTCCTAGATTCTTATTATAGGCTATATGCTTGCTGTATTTAATTTTACCCAAATAAATATTTTTTCTCCTAATGACCGTAATCATCTGTGGCAAAAACATATGCTGAAATAAAGGAAAGGAAACTGTATTAACAAAAGCTCCAGGTTCTACTACTTCTAGAGAAATTAGGTCACGCTTTCCTGAAGTTCGAATAGGAAGGACAGACTGGCTTAGAGCCCATGTAAATTGTTACTCTTTTGTTACTGTGATATTTTGGGTGGCAGTGTCATCAACATGCTGATGGTTAGTTTGCTAAGTCAAATTTTTATACAGACCAGATTCTGCAGTTCATTAGTCACTCCAGTGTCTGGCAGAGAGAGGGATTTGAATAAAAACAAACTGCTGGTGATTCAGCTGGGATGAGACAGAAGCACTGCTTTTAAAGGAAATAGGCAAAGACTATATTTGCAACATATGTTGAGAGTGCGGTAGAGTTATAGGTGTACCTCGGTGATTAGCAGGTTTGTGTTTCTTTCAGCTACTCATGGATGCCCAGAAAGCAGTTGTGGCAGCAAGGACTGCAAGCAGTTTTAAGTTGCATATGATGGATCAGTTGCATCTGCTTTTCTGTGTACTAGGGTGACTGTTTTAAAGCACTATGCGCAGGAATGAATTTATGCAGTCTCCTGCAAGTGAAGGGAGGTACTGTTCATGAGCAGTGGTGATATAATTAAAAAAAACAGAGTTTGTATTCAATGTTGGTCTTATTGCTGGGGGGCGGAGTTTGTGGGTTTTTTAATGACTATGAAAGTGGCAATACAGCATTACTTCTAAACTCAGTATCTTCTCTCTGACAGTGGTTGGTACCTTCAAAATGCATGTGTATACTGGCATTTCCCCTCATGCCCCTTCCCATCCAAAATTCCCTCCCAGCCACCAGTACCTTAGGAACTTCTTGTCCACAAAGTGGGCTTCTTAAAAATATGATGTAAAGCAGATTAATGATTACCATTAGACTGACTGGTCTCAGCCAGTCTCAACCTGAAACCCTATTTCTTACCCCAGTGTAAGAAATGTCAGTGTCTCATCCTGACAGCTAAGATCAAATGAACAATTCTTTAATTCAGAATTCAGAGTTCAAAATTTGTGTGTGGCAGGGATGTTTGCAATTCCAGACTTCCTCCACTGATGTTCCTAATAGATGATTATCTGTAACATAAAAAATGCTGAAGTGACTTGTTTTAACTTTCAGTCAATGATTTATGTTAGTGTTTTAATTTCTGTGATTAAGAGTTTCATACAAACAATAATAATAGGTTGAATTATTAGGTAAGTATTCATTTAGCGCAGCTTTATTTTAGGTTTAAACGAAATACATCTGTCACAAGGATAAATCTGTGGACATAAGTCTTTGTACTGCTAACAGGGTACAAAAATATGCACTTATTTTATGAGGTAGCATAGATTTTTTCATTCATCATGAGAAATTAGTATTTAAAGTAACACTGAAAATTTGAAAGTTGGAATACTGTAATCTTTCTCACAGTTCTGCAATGTCTTTGATTTATTCCTTCGTCACCATGCACTATGGCAGCTATGACAGGAAGGTAGGAATATTGAGGGAGAGGATTCCTGACTTTTTGATCTTTTCTCACCTCCTTGCCATGTTTTTCCTCATTGTTCTTGCTGCCTAGTGGAAGCAAGAAATTCAGGCTTAATTTGTCCTACGCAGCAGACATCACAGTGACTCAGAGCAGCTTGGAGGAGCTGCTGACTCCCTCCTGAGGCTCGTAGTCTGGCTTGTTGTGTGGGAAACAACTGAAAAGCAAATGGACATAACAAGGAACACGTGTGAGGCTGACGAGGCCTGTTAGGAATATTAGAAGTGAAAGAAGTTAGTGAACAAATATAACTCTGCAACAGGTTTTTTTCATGCCTTTGGTAACATCTTGTGTAGTCATAGTATTGTCACCCCCAACATCCGAATCTTGAGTTGTAAATTTTGAATTAAAAGGATGATATTATGATATTTTGGCGTATCTTATGTTTTCTTAATCCTTTAATTCCTCTGTTTCCATAGAGCAAGTGACTGTGTTGTCAACTGGCTCTCTGTAATTAGCACAAGCTGCTTACATGGTTCTCTAGAGAAACTGGAACTTCTTTGAAGTGTGTCAGTCTAAAATAGCTGAAGTCCAGAAAGTCTGTAGTACATTACACCATTTATATCCTGGAAGACTAGAAAAAGGGTATTTTAATTTATAGTTACAGGTTTATTCCATGGAAATCTTTCCCGTGTAATCAAAGACATTTCTGTGCATATTTCTCTGGTCCTAAAGTTCTGTTCTTCTGTTTTCATTAAAAGTTTCTTTTTCTTTTTCCTCCATAATTCTTGGAGAGATTTCTCCCATTTTTTAAGCATTAAATTTGATAGAAGGGTAGATGTGTCAGCTATTACATATGGTGAAAATATCTAGCCAGGTAAAGGAGACAAATTCATGTCTATACTGAGCAAACTCATTTGTGATACTAGATCACGTAGAATCCACATGTAATGAATGTCTCAGCTGCTGCATATGACTAGATCAGCACTTGCAGCCTCTCATGTCCAAGAAGAGGAGTTTAGTCGTGAGTTCTGCTGCTCGTAAAACTACTTATGTTTGAAGAACAGTTTCCACATTAAGGTCGTATAGATACACAGATCCTGTGATTCCTGTTAAAAATGCATTTTTAGCCATTAGGATCAAAATAGTTCTCTTATATAAAACAGAGAGTCTTTTGCTTAAGCAAAACAGAAATTTAAAAAGTGATGAGAGAAGTATTTGACATTCCTGAAAAAAAAAGTTGAAACATGAATCTATTTAGTGCTTTTTTTCATTACATGTTTTCTTGTTAATTCAAATGTCTCTATTTAACATTAAAAACCCCTGTTCTACCACAGTCTGTCTATTCATCATCCTTAAATCTGCAGTGAGGTAATGCTGTCTCTATGGTGCCACAATTTCTATAACAATAGTCTGTGATGCTGTAAGCACAATTTTCAGGGTAAATAAAAAAATCAGGAGGTAACTGAGAAAGCTCTTATTAAACAAAAAATGTCTAAGTAAATGGCAAATGAAATACAAAATAATGGCAGAGGTTTATTGCCAAGTCTCAAATATATTAAAGCCTTGGTCCCCTATGCTCTGGGTTCCCAGCAAGAAAATCACTTTATGGTCATGATGTAAATGCAGAGAGTAACCAGCTTATGTGAGAGAAAGAGAGGCATAATGGTCTGAACAAAAAGATGAGAGATAAGAACATGATTTCTTATCTTTCTTTAACATAAACTTCCTTTGTGGCCTTCAACAATTTGTGTTTGTCTCTAAAAAAGACATAATGCTTGGTGTTGTTAGTGTCCTGAAAGAAGTTGTTGTAACAGTGGCTGCTAAAAGTTGGTTTCATCTTAAAATAAAAAAATTGACATTTTTTTAGTAACTTCAGTTTATTTGATTTCAGTGTGGTATTTGGGGTTTAGTTCTGGGATTCTATTATAAATGTTATTGTAATGAATTAGATAAAGCTGGACTACAGCAAGCAGGATATTATGCATTGGTTGAAGATAGTGTTTTTGTGATTTAATGGTCACTGATCAATTTGATGTGACCTCAGAGTGCAGGTGGGCTGCATAAGGTTTTGTAAATTATTTTACTACATTTTATTGCATTTATTGTTGAGCATGACAGGCGTATTTGGCCATGTTATGTCAGTGTTTTATATTCTGACAAATACACTAGCTTGTTACTGAGAAGGTGA